TGGATGGATGGATGGATGGATGGATGGATGGATGGATGGATGGATGGATGGATGGATGGATGATGGTTGGTTGGATGTATCTCCAACATGTCTCCATCCTTGTATATCTTTATATACGATGATGTCATCCTCCTGTTCCTTTGATCTCCTAATAGGATAAACAGGATAGAATAAATAAATCCCAAATAGAAACTAAATCTAAATGTTTTATTGTTTGTTTAATGAAGCTAACGTAACGTTGAGCTCATCCATTACTGAACCAGGAGCCTCTGGTTGGAAACTAAACCAGACTTTAAAGATCAATCATTTTAATTAATGTAATAATATTTGAACCTGGTAGGAAGTTTAAAACAAAAGACAAAAATCTTAAACTCATCTAATTTAGTTTTATTGACATTAAAGCTTCTTTTCTCTGTCTGCTGGGATCTCAGATGAAAGTACTGATGTTCGTTTTTATTCCAGCTCCATGGACCCATCATCATGACGTTCAGCTCATCGATCTTATCCCGCCATCAGCTCTGGCCCCGCCCTCGCCTCCATCGCCTCCTTTCAGACGCCTGGACCAATGGCTGCGCAGCGCCATCCAGGTGCCTCAGCACCGACGGCCCCTCCCTCCACCCTGTGATTGGTGAGAACTCGGTGGAGCTGTTAGGCCACTCCTACCCTCGTGATGACTTCACTAACGTCACTCCAAAGATCCTGGGCAAGGTGGGGCGCCACCTGCACAACCAGCCGTACCATCCGCTGTGGCTCATCAAGGAGCGCATTAAAGCTCACTTCTACAGGTGAGACCTCAGGAACGTACCTGAGCTTTTTCCTTTATCTCTTCGTAAAGACATGGTAGAATTCGCACCACAAGATTACTCCTCTAAAAATGTCTAACAGATTTATTAAAATCTCATTGATGATGTCATCCAGCAGCCTAAGTTTCAGAGCTTCCAATCTGATTGGTCGGTCTGGGTTTGGCTTTACTGGTCTGAACGTATGGATTTCAGGGTAAAGTTGGGTGGAGGGAGAGTAATGCTGCGGGGATGTCAGTGAGGAATCTGGCTCACGACTTTGGTGTCTTCAAAAACGCTCATCGACGATTTCAAGCTTAAAACTTTAGGGCTACAGGTTCAGTTTCAAATTCAGTTTATTTCTATAGAACCAATTCCCATCATGTCATCTCAGGTCACTTTATAGAGACGATTCAAAGTTTTCTGTCTAAGGAAAACCAGCTGATTGCATCGACTCATTGACCCTTCAGCAATCCCTCACACTAAGCATGCTGGTAGCGACAGTGGAGAGGAAAAACTCCCTTTGAACAGGAAGAAACCTCCAGCAGAACCAGGCTCAGTGTGCGTATATTAGCTGCGACATTTGGATCAAGGTGCTACGACCGAAAACATTTGATTGACAGATGACCGTTGATATATGAATTTAGGTGTCGCTGGGATTTGAATTAAAAATGCCACTGAAATTTAAATGTTGTATGTTTGTACTTACTGTTTCAGTGTTAAAATATATTCAGAACACATTTTTGACCTAAACAAAAATTCATTGTCATTATTTCTACACAGTTGAACTTTCATTTATTTTCTCTTCAAGCTCAAAATGCACATTACTATTTCAAAGTAATTACATTTTCAATACTAATTTTCAGTTTAATTTTTGAGTGTTAAAAAAATCTGCACATAAAAAAATTCAACCTTTTAAAATTCAACCTCAATATTTTCACTTACATTAGCAATGGATTGTGGCGTCCAACACCCAGCCAATCCCCTTACAGTTTCTTAGTCACGTGACGTGACGCATGTGGCGCTCATACGGAAGGAAAACCAGCATGACGGAGCCGTTCATGCAGGCTAACGCTAACTCAATTACAGAAAAATTTAAGTAATAAACTCACCGTTGAGTTAGCTTTAGCTTGCATGACCGGCTCCGGTCATGCAGGCTATCGCTAACTCAACCACAGAAAAATTTAAGTAATAAACTCACCATTGAGTTAGCGTTAGCCTGCATGACCGGAGCCGGTCATGCAGGCTAACGCTAACTCAACTACAGAAAAATTTAAGTAATAAACTCACCGTTGAGTTAGCGTTAGCTTGCATGACCGGCTTTTCAATAGTTATTTTTCAGTTTAATTTTTGAGCGTTAGCTTGCATGAACGGAGCCGGTCATGCAGGCTAACGCTAACTCAACTACAGAAAAATGTAAGTAATAAACTTACCGTTGAGTTTGCGTTAGCTTGCATGACCGGCTTCTCAATACTTATTTTTCTTTTTAATTTTTGAGCTTTAGCTTGCATGACTGGCCCCGGTCATGCAAGCTAACGCTAACTCAACTACAGAAAAATTCAAGTAATAAACTCACCGTTGAGTTAGCGTTACCTTGCATGACCGGAGCCGGTCATGCAAGCTGACGCTAACTCAACTACAGAAAAATTTAAGTAATAAACTCACCGTTGAGTTAGCGTTAGCTTGCATGACCGGCTCCGGTCATGCAAGCTGACGCTAACTCAACTACAGAAAAATTTAAGTAATAAACTCACCGTTGAGTTAGCGTTAGCTTGCATGACCGGCTCCGGTCATGCAAGCTGACGCTAACTCAACTACAGAAAAATTTAAGTAATAAACTCA